TGTTCTATATATGGAGAGAAAAATTATAGGAATATCAAAAATCTACAAGCTCAGAAAAAATCTAGGGATGCATATGCTCTAATCTACATCTAAAATTAAGAGTCTCATTAAAAAAATCATGTTATTTATATTCATTAGTCCAAAATATTTTATTCTATGAGTATAAAAATCTCCTTGCAGGTTTTTTCTTTCATTAACAAAAACTCAAAAAGCGTTATTTTTTGTTATTTTTTAATATTAGTATGATAAATTATGTATTTAGATTAAATAAAAGTAGTTTAATTGCAATTAAGCATAACACTAATTTCTAATGACATTTACACTCTACTTTATCATTTTATTACTTGATTCGGCATGCATACTTACGTATTTTAGTGGAATTTCTTTAATTTATATAAAATAAAATTTAAGCATATTTCAACTCAGCAACTCACATCCTAACCGACCACATTAAGTTTTTTGCACTCTTATCGAGGAAGTAACATGCATATTAAAATTTTAAGTATATTTTTGAAGCAAGTGTATATTTAAAGCTACTTATATCATATATCTTTATCTTCACTTTCTTTGATAAATTTTTTAAAAAAAGTTAAAAAAAAAGTATATTATTAATTATTTAGTGTTATTTTTAGTTGATTCATCATCATTGCTTGCTTGATAGATATAGCAAGGAGCCCTTATTATTTTCGTCCACTTTGAGAGAGAATCAATTTATAAAAAATTGAGATAGATTTAAGAAAATGTTTAAAAAATGTTATCATCATGCTTTACTCGATTGGTTGGTTATTCAGACTTTTTATAATGAATTGATAGGATCTCCAGATCAATCATAAATGCTACAGCTAGAGGATTTTTAATGTCTAAGTCATTTGAAGAAGTATATGAATTAATAGAGGGAATGAATATAATTAATTTATAGTGGCCTGTGGATAAGGTGAATTCTAAGAGAGCAGCTAGATTTTATGAATTAGATACTTTGTCAATTTTTACTACTCAAGTAGCTACAATTTCAAAAAATTAAAATTATATATTGTTGGAGTTAATTCAGGATCATCTATACAATTAAAAGAGTAAGATTTTAATTTTATTGGTGATAATAGTGATCCAGGGATTGAAAATATGAATTTGATTTGAAGGTAAAATAATTCATATTTAAATACATATAATCCATATTGGAGGAACCACACTAATTTTAATTGATCTAATAATAATATTAGTGGTAACAATCAATAAAATACATGTCAATCTAATCAAGGAGAAAATTGGATTAATCCTAAGCAATCTATTGTAAATCCTAGGCCTTCATATCCCCCATTATTTAATCAAAACTATCAGTTTGGGAATAAGAAGACATCTCTGGAAAAGATATGATTTAATTTGGAACTTAATTACAAAGTCTATATGCTTCAATCAAAAATTTGAAAAATCAATTAGGACAACTTATAATCTCTTTTAGTAGTAGACCCCTTGGATCATTGCCTAGTACTGTTGAAATTAATCCTAAGAAAAAAAAAAAAAAAGAAAGAAAGAAAGGATCTTAGTAGAAATAACTTGAGGAGTGATAGTAGTGCAACCTAGCCAAATTGATAAATTTAGATAAATCTAGCTGAAGGTTATAAACGTAGTGCTGATGTGAGGCAACCCACTTATGCTTTGTGTTTTAAGTTCCTTTCAGTTATTTAGTTCTTTTCTTAAGTGTGGCGCTATCTTTATTTTGTGGTTTTTATTTTATGTTTAATTATGTTTGTTTATAGTTCGTTTACATTATATAGTTTGTTATCTAAATTTAATTAAATTCCTTTAAACTTAAACTGTTGTATACTATCCTCTATAGATACTTACACTTTATTCTTCCAAAAATAGAGTTGCTTATATAAATAAGTTAAGATCTCCACAATAAAAATATCTTGCACTTCTCTAACCTCCATTAGACTTTATTCTAAGGGGCACTGTATTAAGTGACGGAACTCTCTAAACAATAGAATTGAAAAACGATTTATAATAAGTGCATGGATGGGTTCAAGTGCCACGGTGATCGACAAGGTGGTGCCGCAACGGTATAAAATGAACTAGTGCCTCAACACTATAAAGTTGGCTCTGTTGCGACACTGGTTGACCTAGTACGATTAATGATTGAAATGATGTGTGTTTGTGCTGAGTCGATGTGGCTGCTTATGTTGGTAACTTCTCCACCGTAGTGCTCCAAAAATTGAACACTACAACACTTAAATATGAATTTTAATGTTGAGGTGTTGCACGACTTGATGCTTCGGCGCTTATTTTCTTGAGGCTCTAGTGCTGAATTCAGGTGCAATGACACAATGTTGCTCTATAACACTGGTCTTGGTATAACCACAACATTGAAAATAAAAAAACATGGCATCGTCACGTCTGATTCTGATGTCAGGGTTTATGAAAGCGTACACTGTGGCGTTGTTCATCATTTATAGATTTTTACATTCTCATGAATATTTTCTGCACAAACAACACTACATTAACATGTTTTCATATAATTAAAACACAGTAAATTGTACATAATTTACACAATAGAAGGTGGTGCCCTAATGCTATATTCTCTATATATATTTTGGAAACTAACGCAACGACACTGGGTTATGAGTGTTGCGCTATTAGACCTCAAAACCCACCCAGACCTAAGGCTTGTCAGAGAATGAAAAGGGGGGGGGGACGGGGGACGTAGAGAGAGAGAGAGAGAGAGAGAGAGAGAGAGCAATATTCTAGTCAATTTTTAATATTGCTTTAATTAAAAAAATCTTCTGATCACAGTAAGTAACTTAAATAGCATTTTTGTTTTCAATAGTTTTGTGTTTAGTGATTTAAATTTCCCCACACAAAGTGATAAAAATATATTTTTCCCGAGCTTTCATCATATACCTTTTTGTATATGATAAATATGATTGTTATATTTGGATAAATTGACTATAATTTTATAGGATTTAAATGGGTAAAATAAAGGTTATGAATTTTGAAGTTATTGGTAAGCATACAAAATTTTCTATATTTTATGAATTTTTATATTTCATGTTGCATTTCATAATTATCAAAGAGGGACTGATATACTTAATACAAGATAAATATATTATTTGTATATAAGCAAAGAAGACGAGCTATTAACACTGTAATTAATATGAGTTGACTATTAAAATGTGATTCTTATATAGGAGGGTAAGTCGATAGACTTTCCTTTAAAGATTATTTATAATATTATTATGATAGTAACCTGTAACTAGTGACTAATTACACTGACGGGTAGAGAATGATGTCTCTATAAATTATCGAAAGCACCTATAATTATAATTGATTTAGTGAATAAATGCTAAGATTTATGGATGACATATGAAAAAAAATAAGAACTTATGACTGAAACTAAATCAAGATTAAGTGGATTATCAGGGATTTAGAAATTACAAGTGTTACATACATTGAATTGATATTGAAAGTGATAATTTTTATGTTCTGATAACTGATATGTACTAACTTGATCGCTGTTGTATTGCATATAGTATAACCACATGAGTAGCTTATAGAATGCATTGGAACTAACATGATATACCGCACGAGTAACTTATATAATGCATTGATATAATTGACACGATTGTATCGATTCACATGATAACATTTAATGTAGCTCGCATGATACACAATAATAGGATTGAGATAGAGATTACTGATCCATCATATGATTATTGTTTCTATTAATTGATATTTTTCACATTGATTGTTATTGTTCATATTGATTTGATCTAAAAGATTACATACATATTATTTCTATTTTTCATGCATTGAATGTAGTTGTACGTTCAATGTGACCTATTGGGTTTTATGCTTGTTATATGATTTATATGTTTCAGGAAAGGGCAAGATTGTAGTGAAGTGAGGATTAATCTATGCTAATATAGTTTTTTTCCCAATCGTTAGTTTATTTTATTTTATTTAGTCATAAATAATTGTGATAGATTGATGTGATTATTAGTGCCCCATGATTATTATACATAATTTTGGATATGATAGAGATATGTAAATGTATGTGTTCTTATGTATAAAAAATGTCAGTTCCGTTGTATAGTTTCATGTATATGGATGTTATTAGTTCATATGGTTTATAATTAGAGGATTAAAAGATAATTCTTTTCAAATTAGATCTTAGAGCGTCATAGTTGCCAAGAGAGAATGGCGTTGTATACATCAGCAAGCTCTCACTTGACATATAGAACTAGGTTAGCGGAAAAGAAGAGTAAAATCCATCAACTTGCCTCTCATCCAAGAAAACTAAGTTCTTCTTACCAAATTAGTCTTGTTTTGAAAAAATAACAAGTCATCCCCTTAAAAGGTGCGTACAACTTGTATTCGTTTCCATATGTGATTATTTAATAGTTGGCTTACCAATGGATATTGCTATCCATTAAATTAATAATGACATGTTGCGAACCGCAAACCTTTGATGAAGGATCGAGCGAGCAGAATTGGAAGCAGAAGCTTCGAGAGGTGTGGATCAAATGTCATATTGGGTCAACTAAGGTTAAACTGAAATGAAATATCTGCTCTCATTGCCCTAGCTTTAGTTTGTATGGCATAAGTAACTTTCGAGTATAAAAATTTTAAGTTTTATACTAAAAAAATATTTTAAAAAATAATAAGAAAGTAAATTTAAGTTTAAGATTCTATTAGAGCATTATATTATCGAACCCATCAATTGGTCAAACCGATTCGACCACCAATCAAAAATTCAAAAATATTACTATGCTATGATTTTTTTTTTTTAATTTTAAGCCCATTTCATCAGATATTCGCTTTTTAAATAAATATTATAATAATTTGGGCTTTGACGGCCTCATCACCATCCTGATAAGAACGATGGGGCCATCCCATCCGACGGCTGTTATTCTCTTGAAGACACGTGTCACAATTTCTTCCTCCAACATCGCGATCCGAGCCAAACCAATCTGCTCTCATCTTCTTCATACAAAGCCCTGACAGTTAAGAGAGAGAGAGAGAGAGAGATTGCGAGCTGAGTGAGGGCAAAGAAGAAGAAGAGGAGAGAGAGAGAGAGAAAGAGAGGGGATTCTCGCCGGAGATGGGAGGCGGCGGAGGATGGGTGGCGGCGGCGATGTTTCCGGATGAAGTGTGGGAGTACGTGTTCTCTTTCGTGGAGGGCGATGTGGAACGGAACGCGATCTCGCTGGTTTGTCGCGGATGGCACCGGATCGAAAGACGTTGCCGTCGCCGGATCTTCGTCGGAAACTGCTACGCTGTCTCGCCACAAACGGTGTTGCGTCGGTTTCCGGAGGTGAGGGCGGTGACCATCAAGGGGAAGCCTCACTTCGCCGATTTCAATCTTGTGCCGAGTGACTGGGGCGGTGGGGCTTCTGTATGGGTGGAGGCTTTGGCGGAGGCTTGTCCGCAGCTGGAGGAGCTTCGGCTTAAGAGAATGGTGGTAACCGACGACTGCCTCGAGCTCATCGGGAGGTCTTTTCGAAACTTTAAGGTGCTATCACTTACTTCATGTGAAGGTTTCAGCACCGCCGGGCTGGCATCTGTAGCTAACAATTGCAGGTGAGGGATCTGTGCATTCAGTTTCTGATTTAACCTTTATGTTCTTAATTTGCTTTGATTTGATTTTAGGGGATGGGGTTTAGTGTTGGTGGATGTAAAGCGGGGTTGGGAGTTTATTTTGATGGATGAGCTTGAATCTGGTACTTGATTGGTGGAGATTTAGCATGGGACTTTCTTCGTGGTTATTTTCATGGTCTGAGATTGGATTAGGTTTCCCTGAAGGTTAAAATGAACATTTATTTATTTTTGAACTCTTTTGCTGCTAATTTAAGGGGAGGTAGTTATGGAATGGATGACAGCAACACTTTCTCTGTTTGTTGATGAGGTTATATCGGATCTATGCCTCTTGATAAACATAGAAGAGTAGATTTGTGCTGCGATTTTTTTTTTTAATCTGATTTTCTCCTGGTTTAGGGTTTTCTTGTATTTTTTAAGATTGAATCTGTAATTTGTTAGGATTAACTAGTGACACAGGTTTTCCAAGTTAGATCTTTTCTGTTACTTCAATGCGTATTTGTAATTTATCATCGAGATGCATCCACTGAGTGTACATAAAACTGTTTGCTAAATAATAGCATTTGCAATAGCTGTTGCGGTTAGCAAAGCTTAGTTCGATATTGAACTCCAGCTGAGTTGCCATCTTCTATGGATGTGATTGGAGCATTTAGATGTCAGTGAAGAGCTCGATTGGTCTCTGAAGACTCACATTTACTCAAATTTAATAATGAGAAAGGGAATTTGGACAGTAAGATAGTTGATTTTTGGGTTGATTACCAAATAAAGAGAAAGGGAATCATAGACATGACAAGTTTAGACCACCTAAATTTATGATGGAGAAATGTATCTGTTTGCTTTATATTAAAATCACAAGTTTTCAGTAAAATGAATGGCTGGATATTTTGGTGGAAAACTTCTATGAATTAACTTTGATTTCATTGCTAAAATTATATGCTTTCTTGGTTTATTCTTATGAATGGAGCTGATTGATGGGTTTGTGCAGTTTTTGGAACTGAGAGCTTTAATTATTCAAACTCTTTATCTCCTCAACTTGTGCTCTGTAACACCACACAGTAGAGTTTAATTAGATGCATAATATTGGACATCAGAACTATCCAAATTTAATGTCTAATTAGCATCTTCTTTTTTACCTTGTCTAGTACTCTTCCCAAGTTAGTCTTTGTAGGAATAATAAGTTCACTCCAATGCTCCCTGGCTATAAATTTGGGCAGCTTGTGGCTTTCTTTCTTCTTGTTGCCATCTTAATTGCCAGTCAGATAGCCTTAACCATCTGTTTATCCATCAAATGGCAAGTTGTCTTGTGAATAATATCTGGTTGCCTCTTATTCATGGTTGTTACTTTAATCAGTAGAGTTTTTGCATATACTTCATGAGTACACCATTTTTTGAAAATGCTCTGTATCCCTAATTATTTGGAAGTTCAGCTTAAAGTGCCATAGTTTCTGGTAATTAATTACTGAAATTGGTTTTCCTAATAGCATGGAATTATAAGTGCTTTAGTCATTGAAACTGCTGCATTATTTTTTAAGAAGCTATTATGAGAGTAACGTTATGCTTGTGTGGTTTTGTCATTTAAGTTTGTGCTCATTAACTTGAGATCTTACTAAATCTCTCTATTTTATTCCATTGTCTGCTCACATCGTTTCTGTTGATTTGTTTGCCCATGCAGGAACCTAAGGGAGTTAGACCTGCAGGAGAATGTTATTGAAGATAACTGCAGTAACTGGCTAAGCCATTTCCCAGAATCTTTTACCTCCTTGATCTCTCTTAACATCGCATGCCTTGATGGGGATGTTAATTTGTTTTTACTTGAGCGGCTTGTAAGTAGATGCTCCAATCTCAAGACCCTCAGGCTTAATCACTCCGTCCCTCTTGATAGGCTTGTTAGCATTCTCCTTAAGGCTCCACAGCTGATTGATCTGGGAACAGGCCGGTTTTCAGCAGATTCTCGCCCAGAACTTCTTGCCAAGCTTGAATCATCATTTGCAGGATGTAGAAATCTTAAAAGCCTTTCTGGATTCTATGAAGCTGTTCCTGCTTATCTTCCAACTATCTTCTCAGTTTGTGATGGACTCAGCTCCCTTAATTTGAGCTATGCTACCATTCAAAGTGCTGAACTTACGAAGCTAATTACCCGTTGTAAAAATCTCCAGCGCCTATGGGTAATCAAATCATGTTCTAGTTGTTACTTTCATCTCACCAGCTTAGCCATTGCTTTTTCTAACATTTTTTAGTTGGTAAAAACTATTGAAACAGATCATTTCCTATTTAATGTAATATGTTTCTCAGGTCATGGACTTGATTGAAGATACTGGCCTGGAAGCAGTGGCATCATCTTGCAAGCTTCTTAGGGAGCTTAGAGTTTTCCCTTTCGATCCATATGGTGCAGAACATGTTTCTCTCACTGAGAGGGGGCTTGTGAGTGTGTCAGCAGGTTGCCCAATGCTTCGATCAGTTCTCTACTTCTGTCAACAGATGACAAATGCTGCACTGATCATGGTTGCTATGAACAGTCCCAATTTGACTTGCTTTCGCCTTTGCATTATGGAACCACACACTCCAGACTATTTGACAAGTCAGCCACTAGATGCTGGTTTCAGTGCCATTGTTGAATCATGCAAGGAGCTCCGCCGCCTCTCTCTCTCCGGCCATCTCACTGATCGCGTGTTCAAATCCATTGGAACACATGCAGATCAAGTTAAGATGCTTTCGGTCGCCTTCGCCGGAGATACTGATGCTGGCCTTCATTATATCCTGTCAGGCTGCAAGAGCCTGAAAAAACTGGAGATTAGGGACTGCCCATTCGGTGATAAGGCTCTTCTGGCCAATGCTGCGAAGCTCGAGACAATGCGATCCCTTTGGATGTCGTCGTGCTATGTAAGCTTGGGAGCTTGCAGATTATTGGCGCAGAGGATGCCGAGGCTGAACGTAGAGGTTATCGATGAGCAGCGAGGAGGGCAGCTGGCATCTCGCCCTGATGATTGCCGTGTTGAAAAGCTCTACATTTACAGGACCGTTGCCGGTCGAAGATCTGACATGCCGGCTTGTGTTTGGACCCTATAGAGGTACTGATTGATCAAGTCATGGAATATTAGTAGCAATTTGTTTTTCAAGGTATCAAATGTTTTTAGCTAGCATGTTGTAGAGTAGAGCCTCAGTTTTTCAGTGATGTTGAATTCAATAAGGGCATGTATGTGACTTGTGTGATCTTTGTAGTATGATTATTTAGAGGAGCTCTAATAGATTTTTGCTTGTTCCCTCATAGTTTCATGTACATGAGGGTTATTTAATTCCAATGGTAGTCTACTTTGCTAACAATATACTTTCTCCTTTGGTAATTTTGAATTTTAACCCTATGAATTTTGATTGTTTGTGAAGTTACAAGAAATGTTTTATTGTTTCAATGATTGGTTTGTAGTGATTTTACATTGTGGCTAATTTGAATCATTAAGTTATTTTTAGAGGAAATGTTAAATGGAATTTTACATTAATGAGTGAATGATAAAATGAAGAAAATTAACATTAATGAGAAATGATTTATATTTTGTTCGGGATAAGTTTCTTTCTACTTTTGAAAATAGTTTTTAAATATATCTTTTTTAAGTGGAAATTTTATATTAGAAAATTATTTTAGAAAATAAAAACAACATTAAGTCTTTGTCTCATTACATGGGTCAATTATATGAATCATTTTTCTCCATTATATCATATTAAAAATTAATTTTTTGTTTAAAAATTATTTTTAATATTTTTTAAAAATATTTTTTAATCAAGTATTTTTAGGTATACCTCTACCTTTCTTAATATACGTTAAATTTAATACCTCATTTCTAATATTTTTTAACCAAGTATTTTTTGTTATATCTCTACCTTTCTTAATATAAGTCAAATCTTATACCTCTATTTTAATAATCGGGTTATCAGAAAGCTATCGTTTTATGAAATTTTTAATATAAGTTATTTTATGAAGTTATTTTAAAAAACAATAGAAAAATTATCCGAAATGAAGATTTAAGTTTCATTTAGAATGATTTTCTTACTTCTTAAAACAATTTTTAATACAAAAATTTTAATTTTTGTATAAAAAAAACTTACTTTAAGAAACAGTAAGAAAGTTGTTCAAAAGAATAACTTTCTTATAGCTTTTTAAAGTAGTTTTATATTATAAAATTAAAAGTTTATACTACAAAATTATTTGAAGAAGAAAACATCCCAAATATAGCTTTATTCTTTATATATTATTTCTTATAATGTTTATATTTATTTCTTTGATCACTAAATTAATAATGGCCCTATGAGCAATTTCATACCAATAATATAGACTTTTTATTTTTAAAATTATCTATGAAAACCTTATAACACGTGATCCTTTGATTAATTGAATCAATACAATTTTTTTTCTAAATCAAATAAAAAATTCTCCTGAATTTATTGTTCCTTTAAATTTAAACCAACTCTTGCTTCCATGTCTTGAGCTAACAATCTCAACAGTCAAAATTAATAAAAAAAAAAACAATTTAAAAAATCAAACTCCATAACAAAGCCATAACTTCCCATCTCCAACAAGCCCTAAGCTTATCCATTCGGATTCAACTACAATACAATTTTGATAAGAATTTTAACACAAATTAGATAAATATTCTTTAGCTCAGAATCATATTGATCCATCCATATCAAATGCCATGGCCACGACTATGATGTCGATCGTGATTGTGGCCATGGCCGCCTTCATTCTCATGTTATTTTTATAATCAATCTCAAATCTCACATAAGTGAGAAGAGAGAAAGCCATTATCTCCTTAATTCCAGCTCCCATAGTTATTTATAGCAGATGATAGAGGAAGGGACGACACACACTCATGTAAAAAATTATTCTGTGCGGAGACCCGATGCAGAACGCTATCCGAAAACTAACCAGAATGCACCACATAAGCGGAACCGAGCAATACTGAGCAGCGATACCGAGCGAAGGGGTGATGTGGCGTATTCTGGTTGGCTTACGAACGACGTTCGACATCCGCACAAAATAATTAATCATCTCATGAATGCACTGAACATGGAGATGAACTAATTAATTAGTATTCCTAGCTGGGCAGAAGCAACAACTATTGTTAAGAGAATGTTCAATAGCATGACAGGCTAATATATAGACTCATAAAAGAGATTGGAATCTAGAAATATATATAATTAGGCTCCCCATGTATAGGAAAGGCCGAATTTATCACTCTGAACAGTCAAATGCACTAGTTCAATAAAACGTTATAACATTTACAAGCTCTACACTGTAACCAGTTAAAAGAATGGAAACAGAAAGGAAGGAAGAATTGATGAATTTCTGAAACAAAGTCAAGAAAATTAAGCATAAACTTAATCGATAAGAGCAATTAGAAGCTAATGCCAAGGGTCATCCCAACCTTTAGGTCCCTCCCTCTTGACAAAATCCAGGATAGCCTGCACTGCTTCTTGAACCCTATTGGAGAGGGAATGGTTTCCATGCTCTATTTCAACTTTCTCTGCACCACCCATGGCTCTGCAAAGTCTGTCAAATATACGTCAAGTATTACCAGCTTGCACTTAAGAATAAGTAGCTAAGAAAATTCACAAACTTGACAAATCCATTCTGGGCAAGTATTTAACATTCAGGTTTCGTTTGAGACAACTTTTTTATTGCTTCTTAAAGTAACTTTTTAGTACAAAAATTAAAATTTTAATACTAAGAAGCTGTTTTAAGCAGCAGTAAGAAAGTCATCCCAAACGAAGACTTAATTTTCAAAAAATTGCTGCACTTCTATTTTACTACAACTTTTTTTAGAAAATTTTAATAAATTTTGGTGATTAGTTTTTTACAATCAAACCTATTATCAGAGTGTCGCATAGCTCTAAGAAGCAAGAAAGCCCTTCCAATTTTTTTAAAGGGTTAAAAGCCACATTAGTAAAAAAATACATTTTTCATAGCAATTTCATAACTACTTCTATAGATATCTACAGTAGCCCCAAACAAAGATGTCCTCTATCATAATGCATACCTTTCCACCAGTGTTTTCTTATCGACATATTCTGGAACATACTCATCAGCCATAGAAAATATTACCTGCATGCATAGGCAAAACAAAAACACAACAATAATATAACCAGCACATAATAAGACTTCCGTTCTAGTACTACCTTAAGGCTTTGTTTACATGCGACGAATTTCAGTGGAAGGAGAGAAAGGAAGGGTTAACATTGGTTTCCAATTCATAATCAAATTTCATTCCATTTCCACAATTTTTCTTCAGTCAAACAAAGCATTATTTCAATCACTATTGCTGTATAAAGAATCAAGTCTTCATTTCTTAAGCCAGAAACAAACTTGTGCAGGCTCTTTTCTTTGACATACCGATACACTTTGAACTTGAACAAAATCAAAGTATGCCATTTTATTACGTTAAGTGTTTAGAAACAATCTATTAGGTACACCTAATTCATTGTAATGTAATCCAAAAAATCTATCATTTTTCCTGAATATAGAGTTTTTTGAAATTCATGTGAAGCATCTGTTAGTTGAGGAAACATCTGCGTATACAAAATCTATTTGTCTATTTCAGTGTCAACTTATGAAGACATGCAGACAAAATACAAAAATACACTTTCATTTAGGGTACCTTTTGGTAGCCTTAAGGGAGGAAGGAAATGGGTAAGGTATGAATTTTCTATGGAACAAATGGAAAAAAATGGGCAAAAAAAATGAAATGGGTTAGTTTTAGATTGCATGTATTCCTTTCTGTCGTTCAATAAAAACAAATGAAAAAAAAAAAACTGTTTGAAGTAGAACACACATGCAATCGATCAAACAAAAATAAAATAATATCGTAGATGGTTCAAGTCTACCCAAATTTCATTCAGATTGACCCAAGGCATGTTTCTTATTTAGAAGGTTCGAAAACAGACTGGCCTTATCAAAGTTTACAGTTCAATATTCTCCGACAGAGTAAATTTGACAATGCATAAGCAACCCTAACATGAGGGTCTCAGAAATTGCATTTAATGAAAGAAGACTTAGGTTTTGTTTGGGACGGCTTTTTTATTGTTTCTTGAAGCAGTTTTTTTAGTAAAAAAAATAAAAAATTTTGTACGAGAAAGCTGCTTTATGAAGCAATAAAAAAGCCATCCCAAGCGAAGCCTTAGAAAGCAACAAGAGTGACAAGGAAGAATGGCTGACCTGGCATGGTGTATTTGACATATGACCAAGTATTGTCCTAAGTTGATCTTCGCTAAGATCTGAACTGAACATGTCATCATCGCCCATGTATGCACAAAGAGAATGGTACCTTAATAAAGGAACAATAGATTAGCTGAAACACGGATCTATGGATATCCTCAATGATATCAGCACATACATAGCCAAAAATCACACTGGTTTTCAACTTCCATACGAATTTTCTTCAAAATCTGTTAAGGGGAAAGAGATCTTTCAGTGCATTCTTGTAAGAGGGCCTTATAAATAGACATACATGAATAAACAATAAGAAAATAAATAATTGGGAATGACAATCCTGATAGCAAGCATATATGCCAACTTAATAGACAAATACTACCAAATATGCCGACACGCTTCCTAAAATTGGAGCATATACATACATATAAGCTCTAGGTTGTTATATAAATAAGAAAAAGGTAGGCATCCCAGAGCTTTGATAAATGTATCCCTCAATTGTTCTGAACTGATAATATGAATAGTAACAACTTTCTTAGAAAACACAATCTCTTGTATGTTTGGCAAATAATATACTTCAATATATTTAGTTCACTCATGAAAAATATAATTGTTGACAGTAAAAATGACAACACCATTGTCGCAATATAGAATCATAGGTTGAGTAGAAAGAACCAAACTCTCCTTAAATAGTTTTAAACTAAATCATTTTATATGCGGAATGAGTTATAACTATGTATTCAGCATTAACACTAAATTTGACTACAAAATTCCATTTCTCACTTTCAAGATAATCATAATTCCTCCAACAAAGGCGCAATATACAGAGATTGACTTCCTGTCTTCAACAGAGCTAATGCAATTGGTATTGGAGAATGCTTTAATATTTGGAAGCACAAATTAAGTATATAATAATCTTTTTTCTATGAAACATTTTTTATACATCTAAAGATCCATAGAACGGCTTCATAATACTTCTTTAGATTTTACATGTGCTAACTTATTACTCTACTAGTAAATGAGATGTCAAGTCTAGTAAGAGTCACATAAATCAACTTACAACTAACATTCAATGTTGAAATGGATAATCAAGAGAATTATCATCAGCAAATGGGGTGGGGTTTGAATGTTTGATTCTCTATATGGGTACCAGTAGGCTTATAACCAAGGAGGCCTATTTCTTGAAAAAGGTAGAGTGATATATTTCCTTTCAAAAAGATACATTCCCTTTTAATTATATCCAAATTCAATTCCAAAAGATGTAGATGTGGTAGATGAAAATCATAGGGTTCTAGGTCATGGTTCCTACATATCAGTGATAAATAAAAAATATATCATCCAAATTATGCTTAAAATGCTATTTAAATTTTTGTGCAAAAAAGATGCAAAAATACCCCATAATTAAAGTAGCACCGTGGTGTCACAAATAGATCACTGCAGCACTAAAACTCATCCTTGGTGCATAAACGACAACACTGCAGTAGTAAAAAGCAAGAGAGCAAAGCGCCATTGCGCCAAATCACCACAGCGGGTGACAATTACAGATAGTTGAACTGTCAAACCGATGCGACGACTGACAAACTGACATGTCAATTCGATATCACCACAACGCTACCAAGGGTAGTGCTGCATCGCCAATTCAATTAATTGTAAAATCTATAAATATGAAGCTTATTGCTCATGTAGGGGTTGTTGCTAGTTGTTGTTGGGGGAAGAGTTGTTGTGGGTGAGAGGGGCTATTGTCTAGAGTCTACTGAGAGAGAGAGAGGGAGAGCAAGCCAATAAAGTTAATTCCAAGAGAAAGTGAGTCTGTAAGCTATTTGTAAAGAACTCCCTGGTACTATATTTCCTTAATTTACCTCTTGCACTATTTTTTTGTTTGAAATGGATGGTGTTTTGCTTATTTTAATTTCTACGGCTGACTGAATATTATCTCTAGGCTTAATACGTTAAAAATCATGTTTGCTTAAGATTTTATTTGAATTGCAAGAATTTTAAATATTGTTTTTAAGTCCTTCATGCTTAATTTAGTTTATGTATAAGCCTTGCATAAATTTAAAAGTACTGTGATCTATAGCCTCAATGCAGAAATAGTGAAACAAATAGGGGATTTAAAACAAGATTTTATCATGCATAAACATATGATGGGTAGAATTTTGGGATCTTAAGAAATACAATCTCTGTAGTTAAGAGAAATCTTGGCTAGACACTCCAACGAGCTCGAAAGGGATGAAGTATATTTATGCACTGATTCACAACAATATTAAGAGAAATCTAAATTTTGCTTTCATGAGTTTTTAACTATCATCGATTCATAGTCATTTAGAAATAGTATTTTAAATTTGAAGACTTAGTTGATAGTTTTCTTTAGCACGCCCTTAATATTCCGTCGATAAAATAAATTTGGTGATTTTCTATTGGCTCCAAAAATTCGCAACTCGACCTTTCCATGCCTTCTTTTATCGACGGAGAAAGTTTTAATGGATTTAGATTCTAGGGTAAATTTTCAGAAGGTAGATTGGATTTTAGATAAGATACTATCTAAAGATTTTGCCCTCATTTTACAAGGACTTTATAATCTGAGTTTTGATTTCCCATAGGCGCAAGCCCCTACGGTTAATTATCCCTCTTGATTATGAGAAAGAACTTTCGATTAAGGCTAGTCATTAAATAGATCACAATAATTATCTAACATATAATAGCAATAATTTTCGGATTTGAATTTGATTTTGAATTTTGGAATTTATGATTTAGAATTTATCACTATATACCTGAAGCAAGTGATGGGGGAATGATGACGGGCTCGATCAAGATCCCATGGTTCTATCATTCCGGGCTATTATGGTTGTTAGTCTACTTAGTCAGAGGAGGTATTCGACCCAACCTGATAGAAGGAACCTTGTCAGCAGCCATTGGTTACTTCGTCCAAGAATGTCTTATAGACCTGGGGTGGATGTTTGTCTAAAGTGATGAATTTAAGTCAACCTTAGCTAACAGAGGCTTTATATCTTATGACATGCACCCTATAATTCATTACTCAATGGGTTTTTAACCATTAGGGAACATACGGGCTTTGTTCGTGACCGTAATATAATGATGTTATTTTACAACAAAACTATCCAGTCAGAGAACACATGCCACGCCCCTGCTGGCAATGAATTAACTGAGAATGAATTGTAGTAATACATTCCACAAGATATCTCTTTTTGTGAGCTGAAATTATTTTTCAATTCATTATCCTCGCCAAATTGTTGTAAATTGTGGACGGATTTTAATTTTAAGTTTTTTGCGATTAACTTTCTTTTAAATGTTTAGAATTTGATTAGATTTTGAATCTTGAAATTTTAATAGGTTTTAAGGATTGACCCCTCTATTTGAGATTTACATTTTATCGGGGTCATCATTGGGGTGATTTTACAATCACTTTAAAAGATTTGTATTTCCATTAGGTTCATAGGTATTTTGAAAGGTAGGGCCCCTCCGGTTAAAGTTTTCTATCAACACAACCATCATTGGAGGAATTTAGCACTTTTAGTAAATCCGCGAAGCATTCTCAGATCTTACAGGAGATCGATATGCGGAAAATATTTTGGCATGTAGATCGGCGCTATTGTAAGGGTGTTTGAACACTTTTAGCAACTCCACAAGCATTCTCAAATCTTAGATTTCAGGGGCTTGACATAAAGATCGGAGCACATGCGGAGTCAAAAACTTTCAGGTTTGTACATATTGCTAAGGTCAACTTTACTTTTCTCATTTGAAGGTGTAATTAACAGCTGTATTTATTGGAATGATAGACTCTCCAGATGAAGAATTGGTAGTTCCATCAAGGTCATTTGTTGCTTTCTGTGACATCCATGCTTCAAGACACTCATTAGAATTCATCTTGCATTGGGCTATCAACTCCTGTATTTTCCTCTCATATTTGGAAGAAATTTTGCAATTTTGAGCTCTATTCCGAGTAGGGGAAATCTCTTGGGCACTGACACAATTATTGCATATTATAGGCTGTAAATCACTGGTAGTTTTTGGAGCTTTCTTGCGAAGGCTTATTTGCCTTGTTCTTCCTCTATCCACTGTAATCATCTATCAGTCTCTCTACATCCTTCGATAAAAGACCCTCCATAAGGATCCTATCCTTTGTAAATCATTTTGTAACTCTCTTGGCAAGTTCCATTGGTTTATTTGCATAATTGGATTTTGGATCCGCATTAGCTATCGTAAAGGTGTACAAGTCTGAAAACCCAGGAAGCTTTGAGGGCACAATCAACCCTCCGCAGTCGAAGGATCCATTAATGGCGTGTTGGAGCCTTTATTCTAACATAATCCATATGCTAGATGGTTAGATGCTCACCACTTTAACAAGAAATTGTCATGAGATTTGGTGAATGGGTCGATGGTTTCCTGTTAGTTGTTGGGCCACTTATTAACAAAGATGGTTGTTGGTCATTGTTACTACAGTTATGTGTTGAACTCAACTTTTTCTTGGAAAGGAGTCAATGCAAGGACTAATGATTTTACATTACAATAGCTCATGCATGTGTACTGCCGCACCACCAGTCACCCTTATGGCCTAATGTCTTGATCAAGGCTATATGATTATTTCCAAAAGTATGTCTCTCTTATTCGAGCACATGTTTCAAAAAAGTATGTTGGGAGAATGTTTAGTGAAATTTTTAAACCATTAGCTATATCTTTTCTGCTCACACTAATAAAGAACTGAAGCATATTCTTGCATGTTAAATCATGGAATTGTTTGGTCGTATTTTTTTAATGAAAAAATATAGCTATGTAAATTGATCCTCCACCTCATTTATATGGTCTTTTTTTATTAATTAAAATTACACAATTAATTTTTTAAATAATTTAAAGTGATAAATTTTGTTTAAATTTAATCGTGTAAGGGCCATTTGTTTGTTCAAAATTTCTACAACCTCCCGGCATCCCCTCCTTGCGAAGGGAGGTTGAGATAGCACTTGCCTTTGTTTATCGAGGCCTTTGTGCAAGGTTTTTTTTAGCTTTTCCATAAAAAAACATCATTTAATATTTGTTCTAAAACCATACGAAGCAGTTTAAACAACAGAATTTCATCCTAATCATCCTAAACCTGAAAATATACAAATAAAAATTATACACTGGAATGGAACTAGCAACTGAAATGCTTTGATATGACAAACAATTCTAGAATGTAATAAAAACAATGGTTCCAATTTATGAAAAATCTATTACAGTGATTTATAAACGAGAAACGGTTTACTAAGGTATATCAATCTGATCCCCATTGTTTTAGTGGCAACTAGATTCAAAGTGCCAAACTTTATCAATTAGTCTGCAAGGTTTATTAAGTTAGGGTAGTACAAATACAACATTAAATTTCTCAGTTTACAACGTAGTCCCTTGATCTTTTTAAGATCCATAAAAGAAGCTTCCTTTTGTCTTTTTTTTTTCTCCTTCAATGAAACCCCTAAAATGTTTGCATAGCCAAAATGTTGTAAAGAGGATTTGGTGGAAGAGTCAAAGTTAATCCTTTGTGCTAATATTTGCGAAGGTGGGGAAAGTGAAGCTGTAGGCAGCAGTTTCTGAGAATGAATCTGAAGAACAGGTAGAAAATAAAACACAAGGTAAAAGAACCCAACATATAAAGTACCCTGTAGTAGTTGAATAGGAGGAGCAAGTATTAAAAGTGAGAAATGATAGGGGATATACAAGATTTAAACGGCAAGTAACCGCAAAATGAAAATGTACATAAAAAAGAAACTTTTCATTTTTGAGAAGTGTAGATTTTACCACCTCTTCAAAACTAACGACAAGCCATTAGTGTAATGGCTTTGAACAGTTAAAACTACCCAACTTAAGATAAAAACACCTCCGTCTATTAAAACAGTATAACAAAAGAAAGTGATCAAAATAAAGTCATGGAAATTTATTTGGAATAATGTAATCTAATAAACAAGAGAAAAATAATGAAGCAAAATCATCTAATGCACCTTCACGCAAAAGCTCATTCAAAGATGCAAACGTGGAAGCCATTTGATGAATGGAGAGAAAAGGAGCAAATAAGTTCACCTGTAGGCTGTAATTGGCGCATCTGGATTTGCTTGTCGAGGCATTAACTCCAGCGCCCTGCCTTCATTCATCATGCTTAGAGCTAAGTCTATCATTTCAGCAGTTTCAGGAAGCATTGCACGATATTCCCGGTCACTTACTGGAGCCTAGTTAATAATCAGTTAACTTAGAAATACTGTTCAAGAGTTGAGACATCACGAAAGTAGCTGTAAAAGGTCATAGAGCCATACTATTACGGTTATCATGAGCTGGATGTAGGTAGGAAGAATCAATTAAAGAATATGAATCCATAGACTGAGCTATCAAAACTATTTAATTTTAATTTAGTTCTAGATGCCAACATTTTTTTTATTTCAAGGGATGACCTAGGCGCAACAGTCAAGTTGCCCTATTGCGAGTAAAAAGGGCAAGGGTTTAATTTATGCAAACAAACTCTCTGTTAATAAAGGGACGAGGTTGTGTGCATCCCCAAATGCAACAATTAGAGGAAGCCTCATGACTACAAATACCATATTTTTGAAACATAGGGTTTTGTTTACTTCATCACAATGCGTGTTTATTTATTCTCCGAATTAGTGGTTCTAACAGTCATGCTTACCAAAGGATCATGAAAACATGTACAAAATAAGATCGGTTTAAATTTGAGGGCAGCTTTACTAATTTTTTTTTTATTGCCCTCCACCTTTCTCATCCAGGACTTGGGACCTGGCAACGGCAGTGTTCAAACAATAATGACATGAATTCTTTAAGAAATTGTGTTAATGCTAGGGCGTCCCCTGGAAACGACGCGCTGTATGGCCTGAATACAGTGACAAGTGTGCAAGGGCCGCTGCACCGGCGCCTGGGTGCAGTGTTAAATAGGCAAGGGTTCCCACATCAAGGACGGATGTGGGCAATGCAAATGATGTGCTAGAAGTATCAAAAGGAAAAACTATTAATAGTAAAAAAATTTGCGATGAATCAAAATATGGAAGAAAAGATAAAAAATAAGAATCTTTGTAATAAAATTTGATTTAGATGTAAGAACTCTGATAATTGAGAAAGATATAAAGAGGCCAGTAAAGAGTCTAAGAAAGCAATATCTGATGCAAAAATTTTAGCTCTTAAAAATTTATATAAAAGATTGAATACTAAGGAGGGCGAAAGATATATGTAAAAGTTAACAAAACAAAGAAAGGAGTAGTAAGGATTTAGTTTAAGTGAAGTGCATTATGGATGAAGATCAAAAGGTGTTTTTATTAGAAGAGGAAATTCAACAAAGATGGATGAGATATTTTGCTAAACTTTTCAATGAAGATTGTGAGAATACGATTGACTTTGGTGACCTTAGCACCCTAAATAATTTTTTGTTTTTGTTTTTATCGACATGTTTTTAAGAGATTATATCGTCGGATCTTCAATGTCTTTATACGGTTGAGCTTGTAGACTATCTACGTATAAATCTCTAGCAGGAGTCCACGCCCGAAAACGCCTGGATCGACTGCTACAAGGTTGGGATGAACTAGGTGGTTGGTTCGCCGGAAACTCGCCACCGGTGACGTGCAACCACTTGGGTTTAGTAGTAGGGAGGTAGAGGAGGGCCTAGAGAGTTGAAACAAACAGAGAGTTCGGTCTGGAAGGCTGGAGGAAGTGAGAGAGGGTGAGGTGATGAATGATGCTCAAAAATAGGGTTTTACCCTTATTCTAAAAGTTATGCTTATCACATGAGAAAAAAGCATGTAAAACATTCTTTGGTTCGAACTTTTAATCTTGTCACTGGCATATGTACTTGAGTGAGTCGAGGGGACGAGGAAAGCTTCTAGTGCTTTGTGAAAATTTAAAATAAAAATTGGACAAAATGAAAAAAAGAAAAAAAGAGAAAAAATAAATCAAGAAAAAATTCTCGAAAAATATGTGATAATTTTAAAATGTCTCTAAAAATGTTTTGAGCATTCTCAAACAATTATGCACTTATTTTGAGTCATGCAATCCTCATTTTGCGGCTCAAAAAATATGAATAACCCACCAAAATTCCTGAAAATGATAAAAAGGGCATAAACACCAAGAAAAAATTGAGAATAAAACATGTATATTTATATTAGAACACTTTTGTCATAGTAATTTTCAGGAAAGCTTTATAAATGGATTAAAATTTTCTTTGATGTTGACAAAATTTGTAGCTTTCTAGCCACTGCACTGCCAGCAAAGACTGCAAGGAAATTCACTGCATTGTCACCATCTTCTGATTTCAAGCAATGAACCGAAGTTGCTCTCAATAAAGTAGAGGGGGCTATCAACATGGCCTTACGCAGCAACGCACGGGCAGTAAAGCATGCAACTGTAATTATCTTTCCCTTCGTTTGAGATACTGAAATTACCTTAACCAGATTTTAAGAGACGGGAAGTGTAATTCAATTCAAGTGAATGATTGGAGAAGTCACACAGATGAAGTTCAAATCCTAATAAAGTCCTCAAAAATGTTGTTTATGCTAAAAAAATATCACGCTAACCTATCAAGATCTTAGGGTTAACGAACTTAGCCGCACTAATGCAAACTCAACAATGATGAGAAGTGCAGCTATCTCACCAAAATTTATGCTGTGTTTGGGACGGCTTTCTTATTGCTTCTTAAAGCAGCTTTCAAGTATAAAAATTAAAATTTTTTAATTATAAAGCTGCTTTAAGAAGAAGTAAGAAAGCCGTCCCAAACGTAGTTATATATGTGTTTCAGCAATAAAATCGGAGAATTACAAATATGAGCTATGTTTTGGAGATTCAATTAACCCTATCAGCGAGCAAAGAGTATTTAGGAAACTCACTACAAAACAGGAAGTAGGCTTAGCAAAGAATAGATCACTCCAGCTTAGCTTATCATCTTCGCTGTTTGACTTTCAGAATTTTGATGCCTATTATCATGTGTTTTGTACCCTCCATGTCAGGAATATGAACAATCAGCTTTATTTTATATATGGAGATCTGGCTTCAAGTTACAACATGATCTATCTATTATTTATAGACTATCAATAAATCATACCTTCCCAATATCTTTAATCTTATATGGGTAACATATGCTGCAAAAATGAAATTGCAGAGAAGATTCTAAACATATAAACAGTATGTAAAATGACCATTGTACCTGCAAAATGACTCCACGAACTGCTCTCGAGAATGTAAAATTTGTTCGCATATAATGTACAATATCCTATTCACATATTTGACAGAGCTAGTAAGTTAACTTTTGTCTAAGCCTAATTGTAAGTAATTTAATTGCAAGGAAATTGAATTGTAGAATACTACCTGGCAACCAGTACTGTGCCCAAGCAACACAACACCTTCAGAATTCTCCTTGTTTATTAAATAGCCAATAAGTTGGTTTAGCTCCAAGGCGTCCTTAAAATATACAATGAAATCGTAAGTAGAGAGCACAAACTTTATGCAAGTGAGAAGAAGCAATGCTAGAAATCAAACTCAAGAAACCATCAAAGTTTCCTTGGTTTAATAGATAAAAGGTTTTCAATTGTGTTTTCTAGAGAGATTGAAATCGGAAAGAAGTATTTCATCATTCCCCTACGTTTACTAGATTTTAGGTTAGACACAATAATTCTCCTGATAAATCTGGTGTTCCACACTTAACAGAAGCCAATTAAATCTGAATGAGGGTCTGCTCCAAACCATTTAAATCGATATTACTTTTTTAGCTTACATGTTATCTAATTCCAATATATTTTATTTCTTCAATTTTCAACTAGTAGTTCTTTTGAATCTTGATTTTTATGCAACATTCTCACTTATTGGTAATTAAAATTCATCATTTTATTAAAAAGCATATAAATTATAAATTTTAAGTTTTATAAATAGGATATAATCTTTGTTCATACATTAAATTTGCTTTCCTCGTGCATAAACTCATGAGGACAAGAGGGGTCAAGTAGGCTGAGTGGCACATGTTCCTCGACACCCATTATAAACACCTCCCAAAAGCAAGCTATTACAATCAACTTTAAGTAAAATACCTCATCAAGGGTGCAAATCAACTTATATAACCCCGAAAGGGATGAATAGATAGCGGAAAAGGTAAGATAACAAAAAGAAAGAAAACAGAAATGGGAGGATGCAGCTATGGCTTTCCAGCACCACACTATAAGCCCAAGGGAAGGAGCATTAGGAAAAAACAAGATGGGAGTAACAAATGTATCATAAAGGATGAAGACAAAGAAAAAGGAGAAGATGAAAGAGGAGCTTTCAGAAAGAAAGGAAAAATGGAATGAAGTGCAGGAGAGAAGAGGAAAGACCATTTGCATTTCTGTCTTATTGCGAGCTTCCACAGGAAAGAATGCATGAGCAGAGAATAGGAAGCATCAGCTCGCTCCATTTCTTTTCATAAGGGTGCTTTGATGAGTAGATGATGGTATAAAACATTGTCATCTGGAGCCAACCAAAAGTCAAAATCCCTCAAAAAGGATTAATCTAAGTCGACATGGCATAAGCCCAATATCTTATCTTCTGCACCTTATATAAAATTCAGCGTGAAAACATCAGGTCAGGCTGCTGTCAGCTAGTACGGTCATGATTTTTCATAATTAATGAACTTCAGTTGGCAAGGTACTTTTTCAAGTAAACTGCCAAGTTGTGAAAACCATTCTCTTACACGAGGTATTTATTACCACTATCACACCTTCTAGTGGGCACAACCCACCGATTTAATAGCTAAAAACTAAGCTTCAAGCACCGGAATTGAATGAACCATGAAGCAGAACCTGGTTCAGTTATCAGTGTACACAGGTTAGTTGAGAATTTCCTGGAAACTGTGGGAATAATGATCTATACTGCAAGTTAAGAAGCACATCGAATATAGCTTAGGAGGACCTGGAAGGAAACTAATACCAGTTCCAATGTAGATGTTCCATATCCAATATATGAAGAGGACAGCAATGGTTGAACTAAGGACCAGTTTTCATTCTCCAATGCAACCGCTAAAGGCTCTACATATCTGTAAAACAGTGATTTTGTGAGGTGAGGGAAGAAATTATGCTGCCAACAGGGGCATGGCCCTGTACTATAAAGGAGAAACAAGTAAATATGGCTTCGATATCAATAACATTGCCTGATTACAAAGTATCCTAAAGGGATCTTACCACTTTAACCATGTGGCTTTCATTTTATTAGTAATAACCACATCTTCAATCTAAAATATAAAAAATCTAAAGCTATAATGCTATGTTACTAATTGATCAGCGTTCATTATTTAGTGATTTTATCATCCTCAACCATTCTTTTGACTGAAGAATAGCACAACATAGTACAGAAGTCCTATAGAGCCAAAGCGCATAACACATGTCATAATGCTCACTATTTCAAAATGTATCACATGACCATGTATGAAATACAATCAAATTGCAAAATAAATTATCTTGGTATTGAAAAATGTAAATTTATAAATAAGATTGTCACTTTTATAATATTAAACATTGATGCTTAGCCTCAAGTGTTCAAATACTCAAAATCATTTTTTTTTCAAATCTCATGTTTTACAACAACAACAACAAGCCTTTATCCCACTATGTGGGGTCGGCTACATGAATCCTTTTTCTCCATTGTGTCCTATTAAGAGTTAAATTCTCATCCAAATCTAATAAAGAAAGATCATTTCTAATATTTTCTAACCAATTCTTTTTAGATCTAACTCTACATTTCTTAACATAAGTCAAATCTAATACATCTACTTTCCTAACTGGGTCATCGAAAGGCTGTCGTTTTATGTGACCAAATCATCTAAGGTGACTCTCTCTAATCTTATCTTCCACTAGAGCTACTCCAAACTTTTCACATATATGCTCATTTCATATTCTGTCTCTAAGAGTAACACCGCTCATCCATCTGAGCATCCTCATCTCTGCAACACTTAACTTAATATTGCTTCTCTTTTAATGGCCAACATTCTACACAATAAAGCATTGCAGATCTCACTAACATCTTATAGAATTTTCTCTTAAGTTTGAGAGGGGGCTTTTCTATCACACATCAAACCCAATGCATTCCTCCACTTCAACCATCAAACTTGAATTATATTAATAATATCCCCATCTATTTCACCATTACTCTGAACAATAGACCCAAGATATCTAAAACGAGTCTTATTAATGACTTGATCCCCAAAGTCACAATTCTCCCACTAGATCTATTATTACTAAAATTACACTCAATATATTCAGTTTTAGATCCACTCAAACAAAGGCCTTTAGACTCTAAGGTTGACCTCCATAATTCAAGAACCTTCAAATCCCTCTCTAATCCCATCAACAAGTAGAATATCATCAGCAAAAAGCATACGCCATCGTACAATCTCTTGTAAATGCCTAGTGAGAATATCCGTAACTAAAGCAAAAAATATGGGCTTAAGGCTAATCCTTGATATAATATAACTGAAATAGGAAAATACTTGGTCAAATCACCATGTGTTAGAACACAGATAAGTAGGTAACAACTCCTGCATAAATATTCTTAATAACTTGAATATAAACATTATTAACCCCTTTCTTATGTAGAACTCTCCAAAGCACTTCTCTTGGAACTTTATCATATGCTTCTCTAAATCAATAAAAATCATATGTAGATCTTCCTCATTCTCTCTATACTTCTCCATCAAACTTCTCAATAAATGTATAGCTTCGTAGTAGGCCTACCTGGCATGAATCCAAATTGATTTTAAGAAACATTAGTGTCACGCCACAACCTATGCTCCATGACTCTCTCCCATAGTTTTAAAGTATGATACATTAACTTAATTCCTCTATAAGTCGTACAATCATGTGCATCACCTTTATTCTTAAAAATATGAATCAACACACTCATTCTCCACTCAGCACACATCTTTTTCGTCTTCAAAATACTATTAAAAAGTTTAGTAAGCCAAGAAATTCCTTCATCTCATAAGCATTTACACACCTCTATTGGAATATCATCAAGTCCAACAGCTTTTTCACACTTCATTTTCTTTAAATCTTTTATAACTTCAATTTTACTAATACGTCGATAAAAATAAAATCTTTATTTTTCATTTAGGGTACTAGGTCACTAAAGTCAATCGCATTCTCATAATCTTCATTGAAAACTTTAGCAAAATATCTCCCACATTTGTTGAATATCCTCTTCTAACAAAAGCACTTTTTAATCTTCATCCATAATACATTTCACTTGAACTAAATCCTTACTACTCTTATCTCTTTATTTAGTTAACATTAAAAATATATCTTTCGTCATCCTTAGTATCTAATCTATTATTTAAATCATTAAAAGCTAAAATGTTTACATTGCAAATTGTTGTCTTAGACTTCTTACGGGCCTCTTTATATCTTTCGAATTATCAAAATTTTTACACCTAAATCAATTTTTTATAATAAATCTTCTTATTTTTTATATTTTCTTACACATTTAGATTCCACCACCAACCATTGCTACTGTTAGTAGCTTCTTCCTTTGATATTACAAGCATATCTTTTGTATTATTCTTAATATAACTAACTTTTTTTCACATAACATTAGCTTCATCATGCATAGATAAAATTTAAGATCTAAAAATCTTACTCTCAAAAATATTTTTGTTATTATTCTTTAAATGCCCCCATCTAATCCTAGAACAACGATTTATTTTATTTTTTATTTTTTGCCCATTCATCTTAAAGTCCAAAATTAATAAGCAATGTTGGGTACACAAACTTTCACTTGAAATAACTTTATAATCTTTACAATCTAAAAGATTTATTTTTCTTATAAAAAAATAATAAATTTGAATTTTACTATATCCATTCTTATAAGTGATGAGATGTCCATCTCTTTTCTTAAATAAGGTATTAGCAATTACAAAATCATAAGCTTAAAGAAAATCTAATATGGTCTTATCACATTTATTAGTCGCTCCAAAGCCATAGCCACCATAAATGCTTTTAAAATCATCTACCTCTCTACCAACATGTTTATTTAAATCTCCTCAATAAAAACTCTTTTTTCGAAAGGTATCTTTTGTATTAATTCTTTTTGCTCACTTGTAGCTGTATTTAGGCCATACAACGCATCGCTTTCAAGGAACACCCTAGCATTAACACAATGTATTGATAAATTCATGTCATGATTATTTGATAAGTTTTACGCTGGTTGTCGACTACCTAAAGCAACCCTCCACTTTCTCATCCAGGACTTGGGACCTGACAACGATAGTGTTTCAAATCTCATGTTTTAAGAAAAATAAAATTAATCATCTTGAGGATAAATTGAACTAATCTTTTCTCCTTAATCATCATTATCTCATAAATCATAATCACCTTGGTCACTCTCATCATCTTCATATTTTTTTTACAATTATTAAGCATAGAGAAAGATTCATTCTATTTTCCTTTAGATCACTCTTGAATATTGTAGTTTCTTTCAATGTCTACTAAAAGAAAATATAACTAATAAAAAATAAACAATGCTATATCAAAAATACCTACATCAATATGGTTGCCCCTTCGCTACACTATGGGCAATAGCACGCTACTGTGCGCTATTGATATTTATGTCCTCACCTCTAATGAAATTAGATATTATGTTTAGTAGTTGATATTTTACTAATCATAACTCTTATATTCTTAAATTCCTCAATATTATCCTAATTTTATATCACATATAAAAATCAATATCCATGGAGGTTGGAGAAAATAACAATTTTCTCCAACCAAATTAAAATTTATAATTAAATCATTCTGACACATAATCAAATTTCCTTAAGATAATGTCTTATATCTTCACTAATCAATTAAATTATGGGATATCCTAAGTTTTAATTGGAAAGTAGCCGAACATAGAGCTTCTCAGACAAATTTTTGTCATCTACAAAGTTCGATGGTCACATTATTTTGGAAGGCAGATTCTTGGGCAGTCTATCATTGAAAATACTTAAAAAAAAAAAAACAATTCTGTTAAGGTTAGAGACCAAAGCAGAAATATATTGTTTAATCAAATACCACGCCTCCTTTAATGATTCATTAAAGGTTGAAAAAAAAAACGTAGCAAAGTATAGTGAAAAGTACTATATTTATTAGAAAAGCTTATACTTATCGCACAATCATGCAATTAAACCACAACATGTGCAAATCCCAATAAATATTTACAAAGTTAGGCATTTGCATGAACATGCAGTTGAATTTAGATGCACATACAAAGAAATAGAGGTATGCATGAATAGCTATCGCCCACATACTCTGTTGCCAAAAATCCATCTGTTAATCCACCAAGAAAAATGACCTGTTGGTTGAAATCGCCTGTTCTAAAAGCCACCTATAAAAAAAGCAAAAAAAAAAAAAACAAATTAGCCTTATATTAATATATAACAATATTTAAGCATCTAATGGGACAGAATGGAAAAAAAATTCATGTAGTCGAGCCCACGTAATCATACAAAGGCTTGATGCTATTGTTTTAAAGGTAAACTAAATAGGCTTAGCATGCACCAATTAAAACATTGAAGACTCATCATTAGAATATGCACTTATTAACAAGATACACACAATTTTAGTAAATTAAGTTTCAAATTATATCTTGTTAAATGAAAAATTAAGCAAGTTGATACACAACTCTGGCATGTAAAAGCCAAAAAAGAAGAATGTAACTATGAACCAAGAATGGCAAATCAATAGCACCTGCTGTGTAAGTAATAGGCCTCAAACTATTTCATGTTATAATCTATAAACTAAAACATACCTAATAAGGTGGAAGACACCATCAAGGACTCAAGGTTTCAAGGCCCTATATCACCTTGATAAGATGCAAAATGTTAGACACCAACCAATTTTCATGTCACTAATTTCTCAAAAGCATCCTAAATACAGCCTTAATAGTGAATTACTTGAAATAGCTTATGAGGTTGATCGTTACAACATATCTAACCGGCTAACCCTAAAAGTTAATAATATATAAGAAAAAGTTTAAAAGGAATACACATTCAATAACATACAAAAAACTAGCATTCACAAAATAATTACAAATAAAATTAGATTTTCTTAAAATAATTGTCTTTCAAATTTTATTTCCATAAGAATGTATGAACAAGTTATGAAGTATTCAATAAACAAAACAACAGCAATAATATTAAGTAATAAACTTAAAAAAAAAAAGATGCTTCATAAGATGCTTACTTGAAAGAAATTTTATATACTTTCTCGAACTTTGATTGCAATGAGATTTTTAATCAACTATGATTTTCATGCTTCAAAATTCCTATATGCTCTAATACATGCTATTCAATAATAATTTATATTGGATTTTTCATATATTTGATTTCCATAAAATAATGAGCAATTGAATAAATTAAAGATATTAGAATTGCAATTTGAATGTGTGCAGCTTTTTGCATCTCATTATAGATTTGTGGAAGGAAACAACAATATCCAACATCATTAGCCTTCAACAAACAATCTAAGACATATATAGGAACATCAGTTCTATCCTCACCCTCTCCTAGTTGTAGTAGACTAAAAAAATAAATCTATTAAAATTCATTTCAATCATGACCATCAATGTTATGCATATATCATATCTTTATTCATATACTTATTCTCTATCGTAAATAATACAACTGTCACAAGAGTAATCGTCCAAAATAGTACCAATGAAAGTACTCATTTTCCGTAACTTTTTCCATTTACTTGCACAGATATATTGCGTTCTCAGTCAACCCATAAGGAGTGTGCTCCATTTAACAGACACATACAAGCACATTTATTTAGCCATGTCATTCTTATAATATTCATTAACTTTGCATAATAATGTGAAACATAAATGATCAATTATTGGATAAAAGAAGGACGAAATATGATCGAGCTAACACTAAAGGCTTAATAAGCAGATGTTATTATCTTTCATAGCATTTAACTGAAGAGAGAACAACATCATAATGGTAATAAAAGAAACATGAGTACTCACCTTGATTTAAGGTATTGCGCTGCTTCACTTATACTCCTTACTTCTTGGCTGATAAACTTAACACTTATAAAAATATCCAACACTTGTGCTCGACCCACTTGCTTTGCTTGCTGGACTTCGCTGCTTCTCTCATGCTTTAGTTAGGGTCAGTTCAACTGAACCGGTTTAATCAATTATTACAATCTCCTCTTCTTAAAAAAAATACGTCCTCAAAATTTTCATTTACATAGTTGATTGCAATAACAAAGGAAAAATATTATAAATTCCTATATGGTATAAAAGATGTAATTAGACAATCTTTAGTACCTTCAAGAATTGATGATTATTCAATGTTGGTAGAAAGAGCTATAAGAGTAGAGATTGAATTTTAAATCACTCAGAATAGAAGGGACCAACATAAAAGGAAGAATATTGAATAAGATATTCAAAACTATCAGACTAAAAAATCAAATGGTAAAGAGCCATAATTTAGCCCTAATGGAGTTATTAATGGTGCTGCCAGTACAACCATGGAAGCTTGTTTTTAGTGTGGAAGATTTCATTAGGGCGAATGTTTGATGTAGAGCTCGCTTATGTTATTTAGTGTCGTGGAAGCCGAAGGGTTCATGTTGTTTCCAACGTTTGGTGTCGTAAACATCGTCTCTATAAATTAGATATGAGAGGGAAGAGTGAGATTGAGCGAGAGCAGCTTACATTTGATTTTAATTAAATAATTAATAAGTTAATTATTATGAATCTAATTAATAAGAATAGATAATTTATGAGAAAATATATATATTTTGAAAAGAAAAAAATTAATATCTTTGTAATATTAAATTTAAAATATCTTCATACAAGAAATTTATTTATAAAATAATAATAATCAAATTTAATTTTAAGATTAACAACAAATAAATAGAGAGGGAGAGTATGTTTGAAAGATTTCATTTAAATTATTAATATTGAAATGAACGGATAAAAAATATTTTTTCTTTGAGAGAAATAAAAGTATATTTAATTAGTTAAACCGAGAAATTATTAAATATAAAAAGTTTATAAATTAATAATAATTAAATTATTATCCATATTTTAATGATAATACGAGGAGAACAATTTTTGTCATGATTTAATAAATTAAACACAAGAGCTATTTAGGTATATTTAATAAGTAATTAAAGAGAGAGAGAGAGAGAGAGAGAGAGAGAGAGAAAGAGTGAAATTCATGTTGTATAAACAAAAATAAATAACAATGATAATAATAAAATAATACTTAATTATTAGATTTATAAAAATTTATGGGAGTAAAATTTAATACTAACATTAGAGAATATTTGAGTTGGAGATAAATTATAAAGTATAATGTAATCATATAGGTGTTAAGTTGGTGTCGACAGAGTGATGATTAAGATGGCTTGTCAAGGCATCTGATTATAAGGTGAGTATTCATGTTCCTATACTACAATAATTTATTCTAATTGTATTTAATCATTATTGCAAGTGATGTATCTTATTACTTCTTCTAATTGCATTGCAAATGATTTATCTTTCACATATCAAATGATTGATCATTTCAATTTGTATGATAATTAATATGTTATATTTTATATAAAGTTAATGAATGATTATGAATGAAATAACTAAGATATATATGATTATATGTGCATGTTGAATGATAGAGCACACCCCCTTATGATATTGGTTGGGGACACAATGTATCAGTGTACGTAAATGAAAAAATATTATGAAAATGGAAAGGAATACCTTCATTAATATTATTTTAGATGATGACTCCTGTGACAATTGTATTATATACAATAAATGATAAAGATATGATATATGCATAATATTGATGATCATGTTTAAAATGAATTTAAATAGAATTATTTTATGTTTGAAAATGAACATTCATATTATTTTAAAGGCATAGTGTCATTGAAATTTAAAAGCATGATTTACTCGTTGAGTTATTTTATAACTCACTATTTTTATTGAAAAACAATTACATGTATTTTTCAAAAGCTTAAAATGAGTAGAGGAGATAATGTGTATCATAGGCGTGATGCTTCAAGGGAAAGATAATTATTGTAATTTTTTTTTATTTAGAGATTTTTAGTGGCTCTTTCAATTTATTGGTGATAGTTTTAGAAATTGAAAATTTAATCAACCATCCGACCGTCTGTTGTCGCCTCATTAATTCGAGACTCCGGGTAGGATTGTGACAGATGAATAATGGGGTTATCAAACCACATGATCAGAAATCATGGAAGGTTTATCTTTTATACACCTTGCTCGGGTAAGATATAGATCCATGTGGTTAATGAGACTTTTTCAACCGTCACTCGTAAAGGGAGTACACAGGTCGATAATTTGATTCTCTTTGTTGCTTGCATATATCAAATTTCAAGTGCAACCTTGCATCTATCAAAATGTTGACCAAATATTAGAAGTGTGTTGTTAAACCCTTTTCTTCTTCGAGTGAGTTTCTAGATTTATCCTTGCAAACAATTATTGAAGGTCTTAGGATATGTAATGGCTTATACTATCCTCATGTTATTGAACAATCTCAGGCATTGCATAGCAACTCTACTAATGTTCCCAAATGCTTGTTGCTTACTCATCTCATATATATATATAAGGGTACACATGTCAAAGGAATTATTTTATAATTGTTACATTATGATTATAACTTCTACTAAGTTGGAAAGCCACTCATTCCCCTTCTTTTCAGATTGAACCAGATGAATGGATGGCAGCCACCCTAAGCCTCGAGGGTTGGAGTCTATGTGAACCAGCATAACCAGTGTTGAGATTCAGTATTCAAATCAAATCACATAATTCTATTTCATTTGGAAACTATCAGATGCACGTTCGTAATTGCTACTTCTATGCTTCCTTTCAATTGGTAAATAATCTGCTTGACTATGCTTGAGATTTTAGTGCTCTTACTGTCCCTAGTAAAAAGGTCAACCATTTCAACTATTATCCCGCCGCACTTTTCAAAGAGCTCCAAGGAAATGATAAATTTGTAGCTAACTAGTAATATACTTTAATCTACACAAAAAATCAGCTCCTCTGCTAACCTGGACAGACTTGGGACCGTACTTGAAGAGAACGCCTGGGAGCTGGTTTTTGCGATGGCCGGTGCCGGAAGCATCACCGGCAAAAGGGGCCGCAACACCCCCAGCGCTAGAGGTGGCCACTTTTGTGGAGCGGCCACGGACTATGCCAGAAAACCAAGAGGAAGAGGAAGAGGAAGAGGAGGAACTAGAAGCCGCGGCTGTCGAGGGATTCATTTCACGAGATCTCCGCTACCTCGCCCGTACAGTCTGTTCGATTAATTCGGTTCGGATCGCTTATTTTTAGGGATTTTTTAAAAAGAAAATTTCTGACATTTGGAAGAATAACAAGGATGAATGGTTGAAGTAAACCCTAAACTCGATCAAATGCGAACTGTTATAATATTTTTTTTTTATTTATCATAAAATAATAATAATATTATTATTAAACTAATGTGATAATAAATAAAAATATGACTTATTATAGTTCATATGAATATCCATCATTCTAAAATATCAATCATATTATCATTATTTTGAATCATTTAAGAATTATTTTACTTGCCTACATAGTAATATTGTATAACAAATTTTTGTGGAGTATGACCTTTGGGTGGTTTGTATTTTTTTATTTGGACTTTAAGTCTCAACGTCTTTGGCTGATGTTCATATATTAAATAGCTTAAAAGCAGATATCATTAGGCGTGGGTGAAGTCAAACTTGGTGGTTTATGCCAGACAAATTTTTTGTTCGATATTAAGCTATGATCATGTTTGAGATAATGGATGTTGTTATGTCATGTATTTAAGCGATAAAGATTTGGATGATGTTGAGGTTGATTCATACCTATATGGTGTTATAAAGAGAGCTAATGCCTTCTTTTCTAATGATGCACTTCTGAACAATATTAAAGAGCAGGCGATGGATACAAGCCCCATTGATGTTATTGTCTTATGTGGCTCTCTTTCAACAATATTTCAACTTACTTTAAGACTTGACTGAAAGTGATAATGAAAATGCTATGATATGTCATTCAGTATAATTTAGAGTTACAATATTTTACGAAGCATATCAACATTCTTGTGTGATATATATCAACCTTAATGTTTAGTCAAAATAGCATGGAGCTATCATAATGTAAAGACACTTAGTAGTAGAGCATAAATTAGCTGAAGAATATCCCCTCGATGATTGTGATATGGAGGCATTCTCTAAGTCGCCAAGATATAAGCAAAATTAACAAGATGCACAAGTGAAGAGACGATTGTTTCAACACAATGCCACCTTTGATTGACTTTCATGTATTTTAAAGCTTAAAGATAGAGACCATTAAGTGTAGGTGAAGCTGAATTTGTTGGTGTTTATGCTAGACAATTTTACGTTCAATATTAAGCTATGATCAATATTGAGATAATGGTTGTTGCAATGTGATGTATTTAAATGAAATACATAACATGATGAAGATTTCGATGATGTAAATGTCAATCTAAACATCCATAACATCATCAAGATAACGAAGGTCTTCTTTTATGTTGATTTGCTTCCAAACAATATTAAAAAACAAGTGATGGTCACAAGCGCCGCAAATGTTATTGTCATAGAGATCTAACTGAGTGATAAAGAAAGCATGATGAGTTTTGGTCCAGTATAAAATAAGAGTTACAACACCTTATGTAGTGCATCAACATTCTTATGTGACATATCAACATCTTTAATCTAAGGTTTCGCTTGGGACGCCTTTCTTACTGCTTCTTAAAGCTACCTTTTAGTGTAAATTTTAAAAAATTTTAACAAAGAATTGTTTTAAGAAGCAACAAAAAAGTCTGATGCAGGACTAAATGTGAAATGCATTTAACTCATATGGAATTTGCACAACTCTTGATTTGAATAATTGTAGATCAATACTAGTAGCAGTTCAAAACAGCGAATTAAAACAAATAAGGGGTCACACCCGCTTAGGCTAAATCACGTAGCCAGAGATTTGAAGCTTTCAAAATAAAATAGAAAAACAACACAATGGCAAGTAGTAGTTTCAAGAAAATTTCTAATCTAACAACAAGAGCTAGTAAGCATAAAGGTGCACTCAAATCCTATGTTTACTAAGCTTAGCATGAGCAGTAAAGAGTCGTTCGTCGTGACTGTAATCAAAACAATAGAAGTTAGATTTAAGAAATATAATGAAAGGGGAAAAGAGAGCCTTTCATCAAGGAGCGGTGGAGATCCTCCACTCGACGCCATCAAAATGCTCATCGATTGCTTCGACTAGGGTATCCAGAATAAGCTCTAGATAGTCTTTGACGGTGTGATCGATCCTTGGATTAACGTAGAAGAAGGTTGATTGAAGAATATCGGTGAAATCGTCCTCGTCCCAAGTTAAGCCGTATTCAGTCTCCTTATCCGCCATTCATGGGTGATTAAGATAAAGTCTCCTTAATGCTTGATAGGGTTCTTGAGTATTAATGAAGAGAAAGAAGTTTCTCTTGTAAGTGGAGAGGGAAGAGAACCTAAGAGAAAATCTGAAAATAAATTCAGATTTTGTAAAGGGTGGGAAGTTAATGAGCTAGGGGTGAATTTGAAAGAGAGAGTGGCGGGTATGGGGAGACTAGGCCGGCGGCAATGAAGAGGAGGTAGGGAATTTCTTTCCAAAATGTGAGACTTGATTTTGGAAAGAAATAAGGAGGTTTATGGGGATTTGAAATTTTGGCCAAAGGGAATAAAGAGGATTTGTAATATTTCCAAAGGAGTCACTTGAGTTTTGGAAATAATTTCAAAGGGGATTTTCATGGGGTCGGCGACATGCATGGGCTAGGGGGGATTTAATGAGAGCAATTAAGGTTTCTTAATTTAGGTTTCGGATTTAGGAAAGGGTTATTTTGAATCCAATTGAATTTGAATTTCAAATTAGAGCCAAAATAAATACTTTCCTAAAATAGATGAATTATTTTAGGAAGAATTTTGAATTCAAATTCAAAGGAATTGAAATTCAAAATTATCCCAAATTAACTCACACCCACTTAGGAAACTCAAGAGGGAAAAGGGGCATGGATGTGGCCGGCGGCTAAGGCCTAGGGCCGGCGGTATGGGAGGGAAAATTGAGGTTAGGGGCCGGCAGCCAATTGGTGGGGAAATTCGTGGAGCTAGGTGATGAGAAGAAGATGGTTTGGAAGAGGAAGAGATTGGATGCAAGGTTGATCGATAGTGGAGGTGGAAGATAGAAAAAAATAACAAAGATAAACGCGAAACCACGAACCTGACCGTCTCCAAGGTTTGTGGGTGATCCGCTCTCCCTCGGAGAGGATCTCTCCAAGTTCTCCAAGAACTCTCAAGCACTCTCAACACAAGTGTAGGAAAATTTTATCATAAGCATTCATTCACTTCAAACATAAGACATGAGGCTATAAATAGCCAAGTACAAGGGACTCAAGAAAATAAAAGACAAACTTGCCCTTCAGGCTCACATACGACAATTCCCACTAAAAGGGTACAACTGGAAAAATTAAAAAAAAACTACACAACACTGAAAAATAGAAAATACATGAATAAGAAAATAACATAAATAATTCAAAAATATAAAGACTCGATCGTGGCCATAGATCGGCGGCCACGCCTCTGATAAACCTGCCACGAGTTGATGACCCCATCAAAGTCGTTCCAAACGAAGCCTAAATCTACATTGTGGTTTGGGATGAAAAAACTGTATGACAATTAGATTTATACTTTGTTTGCCGCAGCTTTCTTAATACTTTCTACATAACTTTTTTAAAAAATTTGTACTCAAAATTTTATTTTAGAAAGCAATAAAAAATAATCCCAAACAAAGGCTTAGTTCTTAAGCTTAATCCAATTTATCAAAACCTAAAAAAGCTTCGATGCAAAATAATCTCAGAGCCTGCAATCGTTCAACATCAATAAGTTCATAATATTATAGACATACAAACCCATTAAGAATGGTTTTGTGCATTTACAGCTCAAAATGTCAAAAGAAATCTGAGAATTTTGCAACCAATACTTACCCATATGATTTTTATTTTTATTTTTTTTTCAATTATTTTACAACAAAAAACAATACTCCTTATCCTCCAAATACTCTTCAATTATATTAATATTTAATTAACATATTATTTTTATGAAGGCAATAGTCAAGATGTCAAACTTCTGAATAACATAAATAAACCCATAAATATTCACAAATCATTCATTATCTCAAAGATTGTACATCTATAAATACAGTATACACAATTGTTTTTATTCAAACCATCTATAGCAAACATATATCAATCAACAACACAAATCAGAATAAGAGAGAAGGAACTATTAGTACAAGAAAAAAATTTTGTGAGGATATCCTGACAGGATAGATTTGACAACTTTTAAATTTGCTTTGAAATGATTGCAATATAATATATTTATCTCAAAGCAAATGAAAAAGTTTTCAAAACAGGCCAAAATTTTCTCCATTAGTATACATGCAAGAGGCCTATATATGTACATGTAAAGAAGTAAGGTCTAACCAGCAGAAACTGGCTTCTCAGACTGAGTAATGATCTGTAGTTGCTTATACATATCAGAGCAGGCAAGTGAGAAATCAGACAAGGCATGGAAAAGCTCTGGCAGCTTATTTCTAAGACTTCCAACAGATTTCTCTCTCACCTCCTTGCAGGTTCTCTGATAAGTCTCCTCTTCACTCTTGAGTCTTATCTCCACACTTTCCACTGCAAACTTCCTTTCTTCCAAAAGGTCCTTCTGATTTGCTTCCTCGCTGCTAGCTTGGCCGGCTCTCTTCTCGATGTACTTGCGATGCCAATCCTCGAAATTTCGCTTCTTACGAAAGAATTCCTTGCGGGTTTCCTCGCATCTTTCCTTCAGCTTCAATTCATCTTCCTGATGTATCACAATTGTGTTGATGACTTCAGAGAAGCTGTAGATAGCACTTTTGGCGAAACCATCTGGAAGTTTTTGAAGTTGATCATGCCAAGCTTGGAGAAGATTTTGGATTGGAGGTTTAACTTGCCCTGATGATGATGATACCTTCTCCTTCAAACTGCTTTCAATTGGAGTTAGATTTAATTTTAACCAACTGTTGAGTGCTTTTATGTACTCTTTCTGGTGAGTTATAAAATTCTGGAACTGTGAATGCCATTCTCGAACAATCTGCCAGAGTTGGATCGTTGTTTCATGATGTTCTTCACTTGTTTCTCTGGGCGCAAGCACAATTTCACAGGCTCGGAGTCCGGCGACAAGCTTCAGTTGATTGCTGTGATGGAAATGCATGGCGTCCCACATTGTGCACATCCTGAATAAGAGGAAAAAGATTTGATATAACAGCATATAAACATGGAAATAATAATAGGCCTATTTCATTCAGTTACTTCTGGTGCTTAAAATGACTCAATTGTATCATCATCTTATTAGTCTAATCACTAAAAACAAAATGATTCAAATCTTTTAATGAATAAGAATAGGCCTATTTTCGTTTAGCTACTTCTAGTGCTTAAACTGATTCAATCGCATCATCATATTATAGTTTTATCGCAAGAACAAACTGATTCAAATCTCTTAATGAAAAATACAGATTTTACAAAGTTGTTCAGGTTGATTAATACAACGAAAATCAAGGTGAAGTTCTTTTTACTAGCCAATAGGTTCAATAAACAAACAGGAACTTCAGATTTAGAAATGGAGTTTAAGCTTAGCCTTTTTTTAAAACCATTAATTTGGATCAATATTTGCAGCGTGATGCATCCACCAGGTAAAACTATCCAAGTTTGATTTTTTTAACATGGTGTCAGATTTACTTTGATCAAAATGCAAGCATTGTTTTGCATTCATGTGAATTTGGTTGCCTTTAGTTATTTGCTCGCTCTTTTTATCATAAGCATGTTCTTTTTTTTAGTTTGCTAGTAAGTACATATCTTGAGTCGAAATTTTGGCTAGCATCTTTTTCTCTTTTTGTGCAGTCTTTTTTGTAGTCCTAAGAATCCTATAAATAAGGTTCGATGATGAGCAATTTGAGACTTTTGGACTAATTTTAGTGGATTCCATATGTTTGCGATTCATATTTTTCTTGAGCTTTTTACAGATTATCTAATTCAACCTCTCGAGTTCTCTTCCTTCTCTCCATTTTCACGCAGGTTTTAGCTCACGAGTTCACCAAGTAGGCATGCGAGTAAAGTCAAGTGTTAGCGACAGACATAATTGGATCGAACATAGCACTTAAAATTATTCCATTTTATTCACAGAGCGCTTGAATGATTCCATTTTATTAACAATTTCGTTTGTGATAATGGCTAGGCAGGCCCCACGAGTGAAGAATCATCGCCTACAAGCAAGAGTGATTGCCTGCATTTTCATTTCTCACTCAAATCCATAGTGTCCCATGAGATAGTGAGGCATTTATTTATGCTCATTGGTGGCATCCCCAGACATAAAAGTCAATTTTATCAATATTTTTAATTTTCAAGTGAATTGTAATGCAGTTTTAGGCGTTTTAGCTGTCTCAATTTTTTTCACTTTTAGTTCATCGTTTTCATTTATGCCGCATTTTGGTTTAACTCTTTATTTCAATAGATTTTGACAACCCTTCTCTCTCTCTCTCTCTCTCTCTCTCTCTCTCTCTCAAGGGGTACCAAAAAGTGTGACAAAACTTTTCATCACACCAGCAAAAGGCTGGACACCATAATCAAAATCAAGTCCACAATGTTAATAAAGACAAGTATGAGTGGTGCACCTGGATAAGCAATCTTGGCTAACACCACACCAAGGGCATGTATGAAAATTGAGATGGATCCTCATTATCTAGTTTTCTCATTGAGTCAAGAAAAACATATATGAGGAGCAGTTGTGGTTGCTCCATATACCTTAATAGAGTAATGCCGATGCATTTACGAGGTTAAAGCATGAGTTTGGAGGAAGAAATAGAGGAGAACACGAAAAAACATCTAGGGAAGAGCACTAAGAGGGTGGGATAGAGTAAAGAAAAGAGGACAGTGTGAGGGAGAGGGATTTGAACTCTCACACAGTGCACCAATGCAACAATTTTCAACGGTACAATTTTGCAGCAACATATGGGCGGAAGGGGGGCATTGGTTTTGGGTGAAACAAAAATAACCACCCCTTTGATTTTATATATATATATATATATATATATATATATATATATATTATATTT